ATATATATATATATATATATGTATATATTTTGTATATTTTTATTAGAAAATTATAGGGATTTAGATTAGCAAATGACTAATTAATAAACCCTTCCAATACAGAGGAGAGAAAAAGAGAACTTTCGAGCTCTAAGGAGTCTCAGACAAAATTTTCTGGCCCTGAAAACAATGCTCGAGACGTCTATTTATAGATGTCAGACCTGACCAGAACGACCCGTTCCAAAACCGGAACGGCCCGTTCTGGATCATTCCGTTACAAGCTAAATGTGAAACTGGAACGGCCCGTTCTAAATTCAAAACGACCCATTCTAAACGCGCAACGGCCCGTTCTGAAATTTGGAACGGCCCATTCCAGATAAGGAAATTTAGGCCTTTTAACTGACTCGGAACGGCCCGTTGCCATTTTGAAACGGCCCGTTCTCAATTAGGGTTGTTGTGCTTTTTTTAACTAGGAACGGCCCGTTCCGAATTTGGAACGGGCCGTTCTGGGCTACTGATTTTTTTTTTTTTGGCTTCAAACTTCCTTGTTGTCACCTCCATACTTTGAGAGCTCCTTCTCTTCATAGTAGATGTCCATTTCATTATTTTTGTGAGTCTGGATAAAATTGATTATTCACACGATGAAAAATGAATGTAGGTTTAATTGTTCAAACTACAAATCAAACACACATTAAGTATTCATTATTATAAAGGAAAATTAATTTAGTGTAGCATTGAATGTTTTTTTTGTTGGTTATTATTGTGTCAATATTGTTGAGAAATGGTTCTTAATTTAAAATTTTGGTTACTCAATGGTTTGTTGAATTGGGATCGAAACATCGAGAGATAGCATAAATTTGTTGTTGTCATATAGAGGTCAAACACAGCAATAAGAAAGACAATTTGGACATTGAGATACAAAAGGAGTGAAAAGTATAGATAATATGACTTTGTTATCTCGCCCTTATGACTATAATAGAAAATGTGAAAGCCCCTTTAAAATTTAAGGGAAACTTATGGAGGCATAAGAATTTATAACAAAAGCTAATCTTCATATGCACACTAAAAAAGTAACATATACAAAAAACTAGTTTTTAGTTAGTTATTTTGTTGAATGCAAAACAAAAATTAGTTTTCATTTTACATTTGTATACAATGAAAAATAGTTTTGTTTTTCATTCATGCACAATAAAAACTATTTTGGACTCATGTACATTAAAAAGTAATTATCTAATTTGATGAGAAGCGGAAAAAAACAAACAAATAAGCAACGAAGAAGATTCACTAAAACCTAATTAAGAAAAGAGAGTGAGATAAGGATGGAAAAGAAGAGACATAATAAGTGTGGGAGAGGAGAAACCAAGAAATAATAGGTGTTGATGGTGAGATGAGTGTTAGGAACAAAAATACTTCTTTTTTTACGCATAATAATGAGAAAATATGCAAATAAAAACATCATAAAAAAATATCATACAAGATTTATTTTATATGGTCTAATCTCTCATGTCTACATGTACAAAATTTTTACTATCTCAAAATATATATTACAAGTTTTCTGATAAGTTCTCTAAGTTTTATGAATTTAAACTTGAGAGAATTTTCATTACAAGTTTTATGGCAAAACTTGTTAAAACCTTCCTCAAAAGTTTTATGAATTGAATCATTGAAACATACGGTAAAATCCTTCTTACAAGTTTTATAACTTGAAATTTAGTAAAACTCTCGATACAAGTTTTCTAGCAAAATTTGATAAAACTTTCTCTTCGTATGATCTCTTATATCATGTAGGATAATAATCCCTTTATAAGTTATTTGATTATTTTCATTTTAAAAGTTTATATTTATTGATCTAATATCTTAATCTTAAAAGAGAAAAAAATTATAAAATAAATATAATATTTAAAATAATATCTTACAAACAAATAATATCATTTTATATTTATTTATGATAAAGAAGGATATTGTCAAAGAATAGTAATAATGGGGTGAGAGACACAACACAAGTCATTTCTTAACTATCTCAAACTATTTTTCTTTTACTTTTATACAAGTTGTTATTTTAAGTTGTTTATCTCTTTTATTTTATATTTATTGTATATTTGTATAATTTTTTTAATATTTAAAAAATTATTAAATATTTTAAAAAAATTATATTATAATTTAAACTATTTATTATAAATTTTAATTATATAAAAGTAACATTTATCCGGATTCTACAAACTAAAATATATTTATTATAAACACCATTTTTCCCATGAAATTAAAATGCTAGTTTGATGTTATTTTGAAAGTGAAACACATTTTTTTTTAATGATTTGATTAGACGATATTTTGCCTCACTCTTGAATATGTTTTAGCATATGCCATATGCCCTTTATAGATTTGGTATGCCAACTATGATTAATTGATTATGATTGGAACTCTTTGGAAACTGCAGATTGGTGCATTTAATTTGGGAACGAACGCATGCGCAAGTATAACTAACTCCCCTTTTAGTTCAGCTTCTTCTATTAACCGCGTTTGTGGACGCAAGACTCGGGAACCGAAACAAACGATGCCTTCTTTGACTTTGTTTCTGGTGGTGCTCGTCTTGGCGGCGGCTGAAACACCTCCAGCACGCGCCGCGCTGCTCGAGTCGTTCGACGCTCAACAGCGAGAGTTTGATTATTTCGCGTTGGCGTTGCAATGGCCCGGCACTTACTGCCGCCGCACCCGCCATTGCTGCCCCACCAATGGTTGCTGCAGAGGGTAATATAGTAAATTGCTCCTCCTTTTATTTTCACTTTTCAGTTCTCGATTTGATTTTCGATCGTTCGACATTGCCGACTTAATTTAATTCTTAGGTTTTATCATTTACTCGTAAGATCTTTTGTATACTTTATATATAAGAAAAAAAATGCTTAAATTTTTTGGATGGAAATATAAATAAATTTCAATCAGGTTAACCTTATTTAATGTTTTTATGGTAATAAATGAGGACATAATAAAGGATGTTTTAGGAAAATGTAGTGTATATTTTATGTACAATTGTGAAAATTAGATGTATTTAATGAGCTTTCTCAATCTATATGAAATAAATTATTTTTGCTTATATATAGGTCAACGGAGAGTATCTTAATTGGAGTGACTGATAATATGTTCTTATGGTGCCTATTTCCTAGAATTTGGACTATCCTTTTTGTTGTTTATAAATTATAGTGATGACTATTATCATGTGGAATTGGTTTATATCAGGAAAAAACTTAGTTATAGTTTGATAAGTGGTTTTGGTGTGGAGTTTTACTTCGGTGATTTATGTTTGATCTTTAATGCAAACTCTTATTACGGGAGTTATTGATCTAATTCTGGTGGATGAAAAATACTTAAGGAACTGCATGTAAGTTTTATCTTGTTATTACGCAACTTATGTGAAGTACTTGATGAGAAGCTGACATGTTTGCATTTCTGATTTCAGCTCCAATTCTCCAACAGTATTCACCATACGTGAGTATGAGATTTCAAATTTGTTGTCGTTGTTGTTACGATTGTAAATTTAGACTGCGTGGAATACTTCATGTTTGTTTATCTTGAAGTTCACTGCTTGCATTGACTATGTTCTGAGTGGTGAAGAGAGATATCCTTTAATGAAAGAACACACTTTCATGCTTGCATCATTGCATAAAAAGGGACACATGCTATTATAAAAGGATGCAATCTTTCATTATTTCCGAAAATCTTTTACATTGTCTCTCATTTCTTCCTCATCAATCCTTTTCTTTTAGATTATTTTGCTTGTAAAAAATAAAATCTATTTTGAGAGGAAACAATATATTGATCTTTTTGCGCATGTCTCTTGAGTATGGAGATTCCAGCAACCAAAAGCTTAACAGGTTATATCTTCTACATGTATGATAGATGGACTCTGGCCTGACTATAATGATGGAACCTGGCCAGCCTGTTGCTCTAGATCTAGTTTCGATCCAAAAGAGGTATAATTTCACAACCTTAATTTGTAAACCATTTTATCACAATTCAAGTTTGCTGGTTTTCGTGCTTTAGCTGATAGGAATTTTGCAAAGAGTGACACTGAATCTTTCAGAGTTATGCTGGAAAGTTCAAGCAATTCCTTTAGTTTTACTTGGTAATTAATGATAAAATGTTAACTATTGATTGAAGAAAGCCAAGACATTTTTTTCCCCGTTGCAACTGCAATATTTTAAACTTTTTCATTGGTTAATTGTTTATATTTTGGTTATATCAATGTTACTTTTATATATCATTAGAACTTTGTGTCTTCTATTAACTTGCATTAACTCTCCATTTCTACTATTGTTTCATCGTCTGTGTAGATATCGACATTGACTAATGCTTTAGAGCAATATTGGCCATCATTGAGCTGTGGCTCGTCATCAACATGTCATGGTGGGAAAGGTTCATTTTGGGCTCATGAGGTGGTTGTTGGAATTAATTAGTTTCTTATTCAACCTCAAATTATTATGGAATCTAATTTTTCTTTTTAATTGTGCTTCTGGGGCAACCACGTCTGGCTTGCATTGGCAGTGGGGTAATAATCTTTTGTAGCTTTTTCTTGCTTACATGATTTAACAAGTTTATTCATTTCTTTTCTTGAGTAATAGTCTAACTGTTTTCCTAAAATCTGGTACTTGTGGAGAGAGTTGGTTCTATTCAGTGTTAAATTGGCACCGAACAAAGTGTTCAAAGTTTCAAACACATCTTTATTAGTTACAAAATTTCTCCACTGTCATGTTTTTATTTTATTTTATTTGCTATTTTGTTTGAGGCAAAAAGATATGCTTTTCTTCTAATATTCCAATTTTCTAATATTGCAATTTGACTTGTAGAGAAACATGGCACATGCTCATATCCTGTGATTCGAAATGAATATGATTATTTTGTGACAGCTCTTAATGTCTATTTCAAATATAATGTTACGGTAAGTTTGTAGAGTGGACTTTTTTTTTTTTTTTTTACCAGAAATTTCTTTGTTTATGTAGGCAATGAGCTCATATGAAATAATGATCAAAATACAATAATATGTTAATAACTGATTGTTTTTCTACATTTTTTGTTCCATTGCTCATCCTCGTGGATATAATATCAAACTTGCTTTAGTTTACCGTATACAAGTAGTTAGAAAATTAAAGTTAATTCCATGCAACTGTTATTTTTTTACTTTTGTCATGCTCCCTCCCATCACCCATAGAAACTAACAAAATTTATGTTAATTAATAAATTTTTATGTTGATAATTTTTTATGTTAATTAATAAATTTTTATATTGATTAATGAGCTAGTCAACCAATGACTCCCCCTTCAATTGATAACATTTTTATGTTGATTAATGAATTAGTTAACCAGTATCCTCCCTCCGGTTTGTAAAATTTGTCTGCTGATAAATGAATTAGTCAATTAGTGGACCCTTTGGCCTTGATGTATTTAAGGATATGCTTGGTAGTGGAAGTTTATAAGGACTCAGGGTTTTCGTGTGATAGCTGGCCCGTAGTTAAGAGAGTTTGTTTTATGAAGAGAGAGGAACAGCTGGAAATAACTTCCCAACTAACTGAATGCTAGTGAAAGAGATAGTTAGGCCGTGGCTATATAAAGGGAGAAGCTGGCCAGGAGAGATAGTAGTTTTAGAGTAGGAAGTTTTGTGGGGGAGTTCAGGAGAGACAGGGATTTTCAATCCTGCCTCTTAGTTCTTACGGATTGGCTCTATTGAATGAAAACTTTTTTGATCTGTTCTACTTCTACCACATTTTCATTTTTTTTTTCTGCTGTTCCAGTCCAATCCAATCAGCCTGCTTCGGTAGTATGGCTGAAATACACGCATGAAATATAAATTATACCAATATTTTGTTGGCAACTTGGCCTTCCATTTTATCTATTGGCACGACTTAAAAATCTTGGTCATAGATTCTCATTTGCTGGAAAAACGCTAAATTGGTTTGGAGATTATTGTTTTCAGACTGGCTGCCAGTTGTATTTGTAAAACCTTTGATTGTGAAGACCTGATGCTTTATGTTGCATGTATACGGCATGGGACTACCATGTCCCCGAGTTTTACCCTCTTTTGGAGTGGATATGCTGTGGACGTGTCAAACCTTCGACAGACCTTGTCCACACAAATTGGACATGTCTCCATCCGGACGCTTACAAAATTGATGTGTCTTCATTGCGGACACTTGCAAATGAAGATGTTTCCATTTTCACGCATTGTTCAATATGCGGATTCAAGATTTAAAAAAAAAAAAGAATAAGTCTTGATAAAAACAGAAACAAAGAAGAGGGATTTGAGATTTAAAAAAAAAAAAGAATAAATCTCAATAAAAATAGAAAGAAAGAAGGGAGGATTTGAGATTTTTTTAAAAAAAGAAAAAATATTGATAAAAACAGAAATAAGGAAGAGTTTCGTTCTTGTGTCTCTTTACTTAACCTTTACAAAATAGAAAAGAAAACATCTTAATAAAAATAGAAATAAGGAAGGGAGGATTTGAGATTTAAAAAAAGAAAGAAAAAGAAATTTTTTATTGTGGACTATGATGCCTCTTAGTAATTTATTTTTGAGACTTAATAAGTTATTGTCATATTAATATATAATTTTTTTGTCATGTTATTTATATTATATATTGTATATATGCCATGCTCACATGTTCGAATCCGTGCTACATAGCTGATGCATGCCTGAATGTATCAGAACATACTCTAACTATTGTGTTCTTAAACATTTTTCCAGGACGTTCTAAATGAGGCTGGATATGTTCCTTCTAATACAGAAAAGTATCCCCTTGGAGGCATTATCTCTGCCATTGAGAATGCTTTTCATGCATCTCCTTTAATAGTTTGCTCAAAAGATGCTGTTGAGGAACTTCGCCTATGCTTTTATAAGGACTTCAAGGTTTGAAATCTGCTCTACTCTGTAGTATATTTAGCAGTAGCACATAAGAAACTAAAATATGTGCAAATATTTTTCTTATTTACTGTTGGAAATTAGCATATTTAGATATCAATTGACGTGGTAAGAGCTAATTAGTTCAGTCTGTGGTAGCTGGTATTTTCAACTATTCATATCACTATTGTACTCTGGTCAAACTGTCAAACTTGAAGTAATAATGCATAAGACCTATATTTAATAGTTGCGAGGTCACTGAGATGTTATAGATCCGTATGACAGGGACATTTAACTTGACATTTTATAAATACTATGGGAGTTTGATTTACTTTTAGAAAATGAAGAAATACCATACTGGTAAACAAACTTTCATGGACATTATGAGAGAATCCCCATGACCTTGTACTTTAAAATGTTATATTGCTCTATGATTTCACGGTATCCTATTCAAAAACAATAATTTGGTCATTATTATTCTAGAATATTGTCTGTTGTTTTGCAGCCACGAGATTGTGCTGTTGGATCTGACATTAAAATTGACATGGTTACTTCAAAAGGATCTTGTCCCAGATATGTTAGCTTGCCGGAGCCGGTTTCAGCAAGTAAGGAACCTGATTCATTCTTAAGCACCAAACTAGTTTGCTAAATTTTACATATTAGATATTGATGGATTAAGGATGAAGGAACAGGCCTGTAATCCATTCTAGTTAGCATGTAATGAAATGTATATTTGGAAACTGGTTTAAATTCTATTGAACCTTGTGGGTAAATCTGAAACTGGTTGACCTGAGCGGGTTGGTCAAATTAATTTGATGTCAGTTGAACCATTGAATATTGACACTGTCAATGGTAGGTGGCCGCAGATTGATTTATTTATACAGGTTTTTTCTTTTGATTGATTTAATTTCCAGTAACATGTGCACTTTAACATGCTGATTGTGACTTGATTTAATTATACATATTCCTTTTCCATTTTGGAGCATATTAGCAAGAAACTTGATATCACTTTTCTACCAACATTCTAGATATCTGTAATATTGAGAAAGAAAACAATTTTATTTATTTATTTTCTGATGGAAGAGATTTCATTAAAGGGAAAACAAGAAGTACAACTAGGGATGCGATAAGAAATCCTCCAAATAAGGCTCAATACACCATTGTGGTTGTGGGTTGAACCAAGTATAAAACAAGGCTTCTCAATCCTTGCAAATCCAATATCACTACACCCTTGAAGCAGTCCTGGGCATAAAACAACAGGGAAACCAAGAAACTATTTTGGGGTCAAAGAAATCACTTCAAAACAGTTGTTTCCCTCTCCAACTACCCAAGGATCTTCACCCTCTCACGTAGATCAAATGTCTGAAAATAACTAATAGAATTGGAATATTTTGATTGGTATAATAGCAATTATGGTGGTAAACTACTCAAATCTGCCAATACTAGTGGTGGCTTTGAGTGAGAATCCCGGTGCTGAGAAAGATGCCCATGGTAAATGAGTATGAAATTTTTTCGGGCATCACCTACGTGTGGTATATGTCTGTAGGCATGATATACTTATCACAACATGCGAAAGGGTATATCCCAGAAATTCAAAGTTGAAGTTTTAAAAGCTCAGTATATTTAAATAGGGGCATAACACATGCCCAGAAGTGCAAAGGACTAACAATTGATATGTCAAACAAGAGAATCCTCAATATCCATGCATCTTATAGATGCCTGGGGTTCTAAGATGGTGTTTAACTTAATTGCTAATTTGCTACAGAAATTTACCTATATACGTTAAATTCAAAATCCTATTGCGGAAAATATATCAAATTATGGGGAGAGGTTTGAAAGGGGATCTTTCCTTTAGAAGGTGGAGCTGCTTTTGTTAGGTACTAGGTAGTCTGTAATTGGTAATCTGCTGCTATTTTATGGTTGTCTCTTTGCTGCCTATTAATTTTTTTACTTAGTTGATGAAATTTCTCTTTGGTTTGAACATAGTTTTTAGTATGATAACTTTTTATCTGGTGAATTTGGCCCAAAATTGTGTGAAACAATAATCATAACGTTGGATTAGAAGAATCTATTGCACTTTATCAATTTTATAATTATCTCTGCATTTGTAGGGTACGGCGGACTTCAAAGTTGGATCTCTGATGATGCAACTCTTTAAAGTTATGGAACTGTACTTCAATTTGTAAATTTCTGTACCTTGCGAATGAACAAAGGCACTTAAATAAATTTGTTTGGATGTCGTACCATCTATCAATTTGGAGACAAAAGGATAGAGTGAAGAGCTGGACATTTGGATTGAGATCTGGACCTGCTAATGTTTAGCTGGGTAAAAGAAGTGATGGTTGCAAGTATTATTTGGGAGCTGTATCAAGCCTACTGCCATGTATTTGGAGTCTGGGTTTTATCATTTTCTTTATTATCGAAAGAATGTACAACTGGATAATGAAATATGTTGTTGTATCCTTAATATATACATTTTTCTTTAATATTATCATATATAATTTGCCTCACATCTCCGTTTCTTTACATACATTTGCATTACGCACGAGTTCCTGTTGTATTTAATTAGGTGCGTAACACTACGAGGACTTCGGTCTTTAACAGAAACCTGGCATTTGTGTTATTCAATTTTACATTTTTTCCCCGGTTTTAACCTTTCACATACTTTAATCTTGGTTTTTAATTTAGGATCATAATTGAGAATGGCCCTGCACCATGTTAGTTACGATGGGACAATCATTACGTCGTTTATTTCCCCCCCCCCCCCTCTACC